GCTCAAAGCAGTCTGCGAGGACGAACCCTAACCCTTACTACATACGTGTCCTGTGAAAGCCATCTGAATCCCAGGGACCTTCCATGTCATTCCAACGCGATGCACCATGGGTTCTGCGTGCTGCGCGAGAGTGATGTGTAAGCCCTTCACTTTAAATCTCTATAAAGTGGACAGTACTGTAGTGCATGGCAAGGCTGTGGGGCTAATCAGGCCGCTAGGTACAAGGAAAACAAACAAAAACCGATTCTAATTTAAGTTTGTAAACTATTACGTGGAATTCTTCTAACTTTTAAATACAACGCAACTTAAACTTACTGTCTCTGACTTCAAAGTATTTTAATGTTTTACATCGTTTTACTGGAGACTAAGGAACCCAGGCTTCGGGGTCCTGGCCAGAACGTTTCTAAGGCAGAATCAGTGCCAGTCAGGGTGCTTTGGGGAGAGCACAGAGGCACTGACTTGTCAGAACAGGAATTCCCACAAAATTAAGTAAGCGAGTGAGCTGTGAATGTGTAGGGGCCCACTGTGTACCCACAGATAGGGCTATTCCCAGCCACGGTGAGACAGTGTCTCCGGAAAATGTATTCGGTCTTAGCTGGAGAGTCTACGTTAGAATATTTTAGATGCACGTAATGCTGGTATTGACGTGTCTGCACGGAGAGTGTCCGCTGCTTCTGGGAGAGGGGACATCTCAGGTCGTGGGCCTTCTCGGGAAGAGTCTCTTTCTCTGTCTTCGATAAATGCTTACAGTTTCTTAAAGTTAAAAACAGGGCAATTTGACTCTCAAGCTTTAAATGTGTATTTTCTTGGCCATCCCTTCTTTCTTACCCATACTAGAAAATTCAGTTCTAAAACAAACACGGAAACAATCCTGTTTTTCAAGTTACCAAGCAAATGTGATATAATAAATGCAAGTGTCACCCACAGGACGTTCCTCTGTTTCTATTCCTGCGTCTTAGCGAGATAAACATACAGCCACTAACCTTTAAGGAGTGCTGGCTACAGAGGTGTGACTGGCAGGTGAAGGTAACGGCTGGGTCAGAAGACCGGATGATTGGGTGTTCGTTTGGAAGGGAAGTCAAAGGGGAACTAGAGTCCATTTCACGTGACGCTGAGGCCGTGACGCTCCTCCTTAGGTAAGCTAGACACTTTCACAAAGACAGCTCACTGTATAGATCTGCTATCATTTCCAACAATAAGAGACTGTTCGCTATCACACAATTTTTTCATAGACAACACATATACAATCAATAAAGGCATCCATGACAAAGAATTACTGAAGTTCTAGAAGCCTATCCTCTGTTTTATCAAGACTGTGTCTGGTCACCCCTGCTCTTGGCTTCTCGGGGGCATCCAGCATTAGCTGTGTGTGTCTGCCATGCGTGCACTGAGTGCCCCTGTGTGTGCATGCATGTGTGCACACTCACACACACAGTGCTCACTGAAGCTTCGGGGGCACCAGGAGTGAAAGGCTCCTGGTTAGGCACCTTGGGAGCAATTACAGCTAAAGTGGAAAATACGTTTGAGGCCCTCGCCTACCACAGGAAGCGGTCACTCACACTCAGATCGGCCCTCAGTCTTAAGGCATTGCTAGCAGAGGGTTCATCTTGGCTCTCCTGAATTTCCAGTCCAGGGAAGTCTGCTAGCCTAAGAAAGACAGGGACCCCGGACGCCCTGTGTGGTCAAACGTGCCCGGCTGCTGGTCTCTAGATGTCTTCATTTCACTCTGTTGCCATTCCAGGAGGCCACTTTGATATTGGTCAGATTCGATATTTGTCAAATTAAACAAAGACAGAGTGGCCAGAAGAATCCAAGCCTGCATTTGGTACGTGTGTGCGTGTGTACAGTCCTAACAGGGGAGAGATGGTTATAAGACAGCAAGGTACATCTTAGGTAATGATTTTCTTCTTTTCCCCTCACTATTTCTCTAAAAGGGAAAGAAAGAACTTTCAAAAGGAGCAGATAAACCTTATTAAAAGGCTTCATTTCCCATGGCATTTTGAGATGTGTTTCATACAGAAAATGGCTCAGAAACCACGCGCCGGGCTCCACGGATGAAGACTGGATTTCTTAAGGCAAGAACGCGAACACAATGCAGACATGCAGCCATGAAAACCCCACACTGAGTCTATGTGATCGAATAATAATAAACAAGCATTCTTTATGTATAAAATGTCTCCCAGATACCAAAAGATCAAATGAAAACCCCACCCCTTGCCGTGTTCCCGGGTGAGCACGCGCACATCGGAAACTCGTTTTGCAGCACAGTCTCAGGACGATGTTCTGGTCCGGGGCTGGGACTGAAGAGCCGCCCCGGCCCACACACATGGCTCCCATAGCACCACGCCGCAGGACAGGCGTGAACGACCGCACACAGCCCGCGTGTTCTGGCGGTACCTGGTTCCTGAGGGCCTCTGCCCGGTCACCTGCTCACGGCTTTCACTCACTCCAGGAGCCAACGGGGTTCTCTTGAGGGCGGCTTGGCCTTTGTCCTCTTTCTGGTAAGGCTGACGCTGTTATGATCTAGACAGGTTAATTGTGAAGTCCGAGAGGGAGTGCTCCCTCCTCCAGCCGCTTCACCCCTGCTTTTCAGAAATAACATCAACGGCTGACTGGGCTCAGCGACCTGCAGTCACCATCCCGCGCCAGGACGCTGGGCTACGCCCGAGCACAAGACGGGGCTGGAATAAGCACAGGGGGTTCAGGAGGAAACGCTCGATGCGAATTCTATTATTTGTAGTGGTGTAAGGTTGGTCACACGTTTTGAGCAACATTCCATGGTAGTTACTGGCAAATTGGAACAACAGGTGTTTCATAGAAACAGAGACATGTCAGGAAATGGTGCACGGTAAAAAAACGGGGATGGCGTTCATTTGTCAATAAATACTAAATATGCAGTCTAACTACAAATCCCCAAACATCTCTTTACACAATAAAGACGAGAACGAAGCGAAGCCCAGGGTGTCCTGTAGAAATAAGCACCTCTGGCAGGCACAGGAGCGCGGCCGACCACGTGGAGGGCTGCCGCAGTCCGCCCAGACGGTTACCCGCCAAGGTCTCGGCGTCCAGCGAGGGTCAGCTGGTGCGGCCGGCGAGATGTCGAGCGTGGACACTTCTAGGAGAGAGCTGTGTTCCAAAAGGTGACAAAGGACTGCTGAAGGTAACTGTGACTATGTGGTTTCATGGGTGGTCTCGTCTTGACTTTTAATTAAGCAACTGTTGCTCTAAACTGCAGGTCAGAGGGCAGGGCCTGGTATTTGTGCTCTTTAGGGTACACAGGAGGGTGGTTAGGGTACACAATAAGTGATTCTACTTCATCTAAAACAAGGCAGGTGCGACCAAGCCCCGCGTTTCACTACCGAACAATGTTTACAGTGTGATACGTTCAAGTAACAGTGGCCAGTTGGAGTACACCTCCTCCTCGTGCGGTGAAATCGGGTCCTTCGAAGAAGCAACGGGTAACATTTTATAATAATAACAGGAAAGAGAATCTAGAACAAGGCTGACTCCCGCAGGCCTGTCTGGCTTCCACTGTTCAGCAATTATAAGTTTCTGCACAAGCACAGATTGAGTCCCCGTTTATGGGGCCATGACATACCTATTAACAAAGACCACAGAAAAATTTCCCAAAGATTTAATATTGTAAATGAGAACTTATTCATAGATACTGTAGCTATTTTAAATTTACAATTATCTTTTAACATTCTTACAACATCCCCTCTCGATGCAGAATGACACTAATAATCGAGCACTTGCAAGTACCAGACGACTTTCCGTTAGCTAGAAAACGCACTTCTACCGAAGCGCTTCTGTACGTGCGAGCGCGGATCTCTGTTAAGTAGCTCTATCAAAACAGTGTTCCTTCCTTACCCCGGATGGCATCAGGTCTGCTCTTAGTGGATGTTTGCAAGGAGCGGTCTGCAATGTGTTTTCAACAGAAAGACCTCCGAAACGCGAGCTGTGCAGACCCGCTGCGGGTGGAGAAGGAGTTGCTGACGCTTGCATGGAATGAAAGTCTTCCACAAAGAAATTTTAAACAAGGGTTTTTTTAAACCGCAGTAAAAGGAATCTTTTCATACTTTCAAATACTGTGCCTTTTTATTTAAAACAGTGTAAACATAACAACTCAACACCACCAATAATTGGAAAAAGACTGGGGATGTGGACACTAACTTCCTGGAATGCCCATGAGCATAAGGGGGGAAATAAACAGACAACTCTTCGGGAGAGGGTTCAGTTCGCCTTCGCAGTGGTAAAAATATTGCTTTATTCCAAATGAACATACAACACAATTCACTGTTCTTTTGGGGGCTTCTTGTGAACTGAGAGGTCTGGGCTTTGTGATTTCGACAACTTACTGTTTCTGGATTAACCACAGAAGCGGCTCCTTGGTCCACACGGTGTAGACTTGCTATCAAATAAATAGTAAGGAGAGTGACGAGAACACAAAGGGTAACTGTCAGCTTGTTAGCCGGCTCGTTAAATAACTGAAGTAGGCATGATTCAGAATCGACACACACCCTCGATTAACTCGCCATGGACATGGTTTCAGTAATGAGCCCGCAGTGGTTCCTCTCCAAAGGATTCACATTAGAAATGGTCTAGACATTGTCAAGAGTTTTATAAGACCCCACCATGCAAGTGACCTTGATTTAAGAACTTACTAACTGAACTTTATACTTAATGGAAACATTGAAGGTGAACAGAGCTAAGAGGGAAATTCTTTTCTGAATATTAGATTCCCTGATGTTTCAGAACAAATGTCAGCAAGCTCAATTCGCACACAAATGCACACGTGTGTGCACAAGCCCCACATGCGTGCACACACATGTGCACACACTCCACACGCACACATATACGCATACATGTGCACAAGTTCAATATGCACACGTGTGCACACAAGCTCCACACGTACACACATGCACACACATGTGCACAAGCTCCATATGCACACACATGCACACACATGTGCACAATGAGCACATGTGCATACAGCAGCCATGCTCGAGTGAGTGAACCGGCACAAGTGCATGCTCACACGCTCACACGCTCACGTGCACACAGGCACACACACTGAGAATCGCTCCTGCAGAGCCTCTGAGCAACCTCAAGGAGAAGCATTCGTATCAGTGTGATTTTAGTGACACGACATTGCGATTTTCTGTCTCTTTTTCTGGAAATCTCCCTCTGAGATTCTGTGTTCCAAATTTCAGAGGGAGACGGCACCTGAGAGCAGCCGCGGCCGCTCCCGACACCTCCCTCCTCCCCTCTCCTCCCCACTCCAGTCCGTGCTGTTCTCCAAACAGCAGTGGAAACACCAGGGCTGCCGACATGCCTAACCTGGATGAGGCTGTTGGCTGGACAGAGATTTAGGGTGGGACTGGCAACAGAACGTCCTGGCCGGCCGCTGACGGCACAGCCGCCCCCCGCACACAGCCCGTCTCTGCCAAACCAGCTGACCACGGCGCGTTGGCAAGGACAGGGCGCTGCGGGACCCACCGAGGGTCTGAACCGCCCACATCTAAAAGCCAAAGAGGTCGTGTTGGGGCTAACTGAAATTGGATTGGGAATTCTGCCTGGAAGCTCTAGTGTAAGCTTTCTCCCTCCTGAAACATTTCTTTCCCTTTAAAAAAATATTTTGTTAAAAACACTATGATAAGCGGGCGGTAGACTATTTGGTTTCTTCTAAGTAGATGCTCTTAAATTAATGCATATAAATAATTTGTAGTTACTTTCCTCTTTCCTGCTTAGCAAAGCATCGAACGCACAGATTCCTGCATCTCGCGTCACTTGGTCAACGCGGAGTCTCTTTGTATTTCGTTTCTTAAGACAAATTGTGCCTCTCGTTCTGATTTGGCCGTGGGGCTCAGGGGCAGAAAGGCTGTGTTTTCGCTGGCAGTGTCCTCGGTTTCTGTGCTGGCCAGCTCGTAGTCTTCCGACCGTCTGGCCTCAGTCAGGATTCGAATCTGCTCCTGGACAGTTTCGAGCAGGACCTTCACCCCCTGCTGCTCCGTGGCGAGAGGGTCGCTGAGGGGCGCGCCCACGCCGACACCGTCCACAGAGAAGGAGTTCTTGCACCATGTGATGCCGCGGACCTCGGAGACCCCGGGCACCTGCATGCAGGGCCCCTCGAGTCCCACCGAAGGGATGATGGGCACGGAGCTGGCCCGCGCGGAGGGGTAGCCCAGCGGGCCCTTGCCGTCCATGCTGTTAGAGTAGGGCTTTGTCCCTCTTGAAGGCAGTTGCATATTTATTGATGCATTCTGTTGGGCTTTTAAACCTCCTGGTGAGTACCTGCAAAAGAGACAAAGTGTCACACGTGAGCCACCGCGCTCCGCGTTCGCCACAGCAATACTCAGTCCACAGAGCACTGGCCGCATGCACCACCTCACTGCACTGACAGCAGCCCGTGAGACGAATAAGACGTTCCCAGTTAAACAGAAGTAACTGAAGCTCAGATAGGTGAAGTGACTTGCCCAAGGTCACACAGAAAATAAGTGACAGACTGAGACTCAAACCCAGATCTTCTTACTTTAAGTCCAGGGGTCTTTCAACACACCACAGCTGCATAGGCAGGTGGGACATAGTCTTCCTCACCTCTACCCTAGAATACAAAGTAGATGGGGTTCAGCCGGGAATGTGGCCTCTCCGCGGGGACAAACAGGAGACCCATAACACCATCGCTCACTCCATCAACTCCCCCCAGCCCTGGGTTAGCCCGGACACTTGCCGTGGTCACCCTAGCAGCTCTCCGGGACAGAAGCCCAGTGCTCGGCACCTGCAGCCCTGAGATTCTCTGCTTCGCATTGATTTTAGAGGATCCGAATCCAATTTCCATCGACACTCTGCAGTGTACACACCGTCTCACTGCCAGATTGCTGGGCAGGTGGGAAAGGCAGCGGGAACCAGGCTCCAGGGGCCTCTGTTCCCAGCAGCCCGCCTCCCAGTCCCCCTCCTGGTGAGGCAACTCCCTGGGATGGCAGCGGCTGGTCAGATACCACAGAGCCATTCCAAGTCACTGGACATGCCAGAGCCCTGCCAGTCCCCTCCTCGCCTGGGGGACCAGTGCATCGTCCTCCTCTGAGCTTTCCAGAAGCAGGAGGGACTGGCCCTCTGCAGGCTCATCGACGTGAGGCCTGGGGACGTGAGCTGTGGTCCCTCTACTTCTCAGTGGTTTGCACGGATGTGAACCCTGAATTAAACACGGAGATGCAAACACCCCTGAGATACGGCCGCACTCAGGCTCCATGCGATACATCTCATTCCGCGACCTGCACTGCAATGCAGGCGAAAGCCCTGTCCGCACATGGAGAGAGCGGTCACAGTGAAGTGTGTCACGTGGCGCTTTCCAATCGTCAGAGGGCACGTGCCAGCGAGAGAGACAGGGAGGGAGAGGAGAAAGCACCCTGGTGGGGCGAGGTCACACCACAACCCTCTTCCGTTTCTCCATCCTGTCAGGATTTGGGCACACACACACACACCCCAGGGGTGTTCTTCCAGCTGCCAAGGCCAAGTTGGAACTAGGGCTGGCCGTGGAACCAGTTCTCTCCACCGCTCAGCCACAGAGCCAGGCCCAGGCTCTCGCATGCTGAACAGACTTTACTGTGAGGACGCGATGAAAGTAGGGGCTGCTTTTCCACTGGATGGGGGCGCAGACAGGAAACAGACTTAGGAGTTGAACCCCATGTGCCCTCTGTGCCTAGCTGGGGGTTAGCAATCACAAACCTTGGCTAAACCAACGCACGAGCGGGCTTTGAGGCAGACACTGCTTTCAGAGCACCGCTGTCAACCCTAATCGCCACTCTCAGATACAATAACCACAGCTGCTATGTGTCCTGCCTTTTCTTTTCTATAGGGCGAGTATACTCGCCAGAGAGACAGAAAGCGAGAAATCACCCGGGGTGGGGGTGGGGGATGGCCATGCCTCAATCCTCTCTCCTCCATTCTCCTCTTGGGATTTTGGACTCTCACACAAACACATACCCAGCATGAGTTTCAAGCTGCTGGATCTGGGACTTGAACCAGTCAACTACGTGGAAGCCCAGTGACATAGCCATCACCCCAGCTGTGGTCACTTGTGTAGTGCTTTAAAATTACCTTCGCCTTCAATTACTTCGTCAGAGTTCTTTAAGAGCCTTGTGGTTTGTTCGTCCTCGTTTCCACGTGAGGCTGAGTAAACTGGCTGAGCGTTCAATGAGCTCCCAAAGCCACACCTTAGCAGGGACAGGAGGACTTCCGCCCTCACGTCCCTACCAAAGGCAGATGCTCTAGCGCGCTCGACCTCAAGGCCGACCAGAAGCCCTCTCCCGGAAACCGGACACCGCAGGTAGAGGCCCCGGCGCTGACCCTTCTCTTCCTGTCGTGGGGCTAAACTGCGAGCCTGCGCTTTCTGACCGCTGAGTCCACTTTAAGAAAAGGGACACTTCTCAGACGCTGCTCTTCCGTGCTCAGTGCCCTCCTTCTGTGTCAGCACGAAATGTAGGAGCCAGCTCCCCCACGGATCTGTCGGGGCCACAGAGCCCAGGTCCGCCAGGACGAACCTGCCCGCGCAGACTCCGGGGGAGGGCTAGTGGCCGGGAGCGGTGGGTCGGAATGTGGAGGTGACAGGTGCAGGGTCACACCTGGGTCACACACGGTTTATAACGATGTTGGATAAAGGCGTACACAGTTTACAGGGTATTTTTAAAGGGTAGCTTTGAAAGCCAGCAGCACGGCAGGGCTAAGACATAATCGAAGACAGTCCCCACCCACTTGGCTCACTCTGCCGGTGCGCCTGGCTGCCGAGCTGAGGGCCCGGAGGGAACAGGACTGCCACTGACTGTCCCTGTGGCTTCCCAAGACAAACGAATGACACCTAAAACGTCACCATCAGGGAAGGTGGTTTTAAACCAGGCCTGTTCTCACGGGGTGACGCGGACACCACCCCCAACCCTGCACCATTGCGGGCTCTGGAATCTCAGGTAAGGGGTAACCTCACTATAATCTCCCACCCTCTAGAACGATTGGGTGGTCATGATATGGCTGCTCCGAGGACTGCTCTGGAGATTAACCGAAATACCGCTTCTTGGCTCAGCTACGGCGGTGCAGGAACAGGGCCCCACTGGTGTCCTACGGTCATGTGGGAAGACCATGGGTTCAGCTCCTGGGTCTGCCCGAAGGCCCTCCTGTGCTGCCAGCGTGCCCGTGACCCTGGCTGGCTGTGGGCCATGGAGGATGATTGCACACTGCCAGGGGCTCTCTTTCAGGAAATAAGTAAGTACATTTAGAAAGAGGAGGGACTGAGCTCCCACACTGTTCCGACAGACAAGGAGGCAACCTCCCTCCCGGAGTTGGAACCAGAGTGTAAGCGGGGGCTGGGTACCTAGACGTGACTGACTTAGGAGACCTTCAGGCCATGGTCCCTCGGAGCCCATGAGTCCCAGGGTCCCCCAGGTGCTCACCACCCACGGACCGTGACCCAGTCTGACTGGCCCCTCTCAGCCCTGAGCAAAGGAGTCACTAACACGGGCTGTCTGTACCCGGGGACACAAAGCACCCTTTGAAGAAGGAGGATCCCAACACTGTCCCTGTGTTCAGCTCTCGGTAATGAAGAGGTCGGGGCGTGGGGTCTGCTGCTCTCGGGGAGTCTGAGACCCAGTTCCGGGCACGCGGTGTCAGGATGAAAGGACTGGGCTGAGGGGCGCACCCTGGAGCCGGTCGCCCTGCCAGGACTGCCCCTCAGCCCATTGCTGGGCCAGCGGTGTAGTGGCGGAGAGGGCCGTACTCCACCTCGGTCCCCACGGCCGGCTGTGTCAGCTCTGCTCTCCCCGCGGTCACTGACTGACTCTCTGGGGAACCACGGACGGGCAATACTAGGTGGTAGGGCTGGGCGGGATGTGTCAGGAAATCACACGGCTCTCTGTGGCCGCCCCCCGGGTCAGGCATCACACCTGGAGACCTCCCTGAGCGACAGGACAGGTGTGCCCGTGCTCCAGGGCTGGCGGCTGGGAGCAGTCTCGGAGGAGGCAAGAGCCTTTTGGGGGTGCTATCTCTCCAACTCGTCAAGAAAGAGATACACTTGAAAGAAAGCAGAAAGGAAGGAGGGGCGCTGACTGGGAGTGTGGCCGTGCGTCGTTCGGAGGATGGGATCTCACTTCTGGAACAGCCGGAGCAGTCTGACAGCCCTGGTTCAAGTTCTACGCACCTTTCCACAGTCGCCACGGTCCACGGGTGCATTCCGGGAAGAGCTGATTCAGGACCTCCCTCTACCTCGTCCCCTCCCTGGGTCTCACAAAACCTGGGTTTTGAGCTGGGTTCAAGCCGGGTTGGCGTGCGCCAGAGCCAGACCATGTGCCCGTGGGTGAGTGGCAGACAGTGCCCCGGCTCAGCCGGCATGCAGCGCCGGACCGACGGGCCTGCAGGGGCACTCTCGTGCCCCGCCAGGCAGATCTGGAGGGCCTGTAGCCCAAATCCCATTGCCAATCGCATTTCCAGTCTGCAGAGACAGCCAGTCCCAGGAGCGGAAATAGTTGCTTTCAAGAACGGAGGAGGAGGTGGGCCCTGGAGTCCCTGTGCGGAGCACACTGACACCCAGTCGCCATTCATCGGCCCTGGGTGCAGGTCACACACAGGGAGATGCACACAGTGCCCTGACGGGGACGGGGCCAGGACAAGCCCAGTGCAGTGCAGCAGCCCACTGCTCCCGCCAGGCCGGCGGGAGAGCACCTCCCCGAACACGCGGGGAGGCTCCTGTGCCCTAAGGTGCAGCGCAGCTCAGCCCGAGCCGGAGGCTTGGTGGGTCAGTGCACTTGGCATGTAGGGCATGACACGGGGGCAGCCGGGACCAGGCCCAATAGAAAGAAGGCCGGCACGGAGCATGGGGAACTTCTATCCGCTCACGGAGTCTCCGAGGGTGACTCCCTCACTCGTTCAACGTCCATCCCAAGAAAATATGCTCACACTCCCGGTCAGGGGCGTTAGTTAGGCTGGGAAGAGATAATGATGACCACAGCCGCTGGAAGTTTGGGCTAGACACGGCCCCTGTCAGAGACCCAAGGCCGTGCGGACTGGGTCGGACTTGTAGCTATCCGCTTGGACAACCCGACAGAGATGCTGAATTTGCAACTGCCACTCTAAATCCGTACCAAATGCAGCGTACAGGCCATCTGGAATTGCTTCAGGTTCCACAACCAAGCTACAGGCTCTTCCCCACCTCCTAGTCTTCCGAAAGCAGTCTGGGGCTGAGACTGTCAAACGGGGCACTGCTCTGTAAAAGAGGGGAGGACCTGGCCCTGGACCCACCTCCCACCTGCCTCGGCCCTCAGCCTGATCCGAACCCAGGGCCAGGGCAGCTCAGGAGCCTGCCTGGCTCCCCCAGAGAGAGAAACGGGACGAAGCGGGAGCCCAGCCTGAGGGGGGCTCATTCCTGCAATTCGGGGGCAAGGCCTGCCTGTGCTGTTTCTGAACTGAATGACAATATGCTGACAGCTCCTGCGGCCTTAAACCCGGCACTGCCTCTGCTCTCCGCACACAACACACATGCGTTCTCCTTTTAACTTCCCAGCCATCCTCAAGGGGTGGTATTATTTTCCTCAGCTGACAGACAAGGAAAATAAGCTCACATGGTGAAGTTATCTCAAGTTATACCAGCAGTGAGAGACAGAGAGGGGATCTGAACTCCATCGCTTTGAGAGAGCTGCCGTGCTGGGTCAAGTGGCTTTTGCTGCCAGCTCAGTGGGGGCTGAAACTCATCCCGTGCTCCACTCCCTGTGGCCTGGGCCCCGGGGGGTCTGTGTCCGCTAAAAGGAGGACGCCTTTTGTGCTTTCGGGAGAGGTAGCCGCGGTGCCCTGTGCTGTGAGTGACAGGGTTCGGGCTGTCCTGGGACGTCCTGCTCTAAGCCCTGACCTATGTCCACATTCGAGGACACGCGCACGGTGCAGCTAGGCTGCTGGGTCGCGCTGCCCCCAGTGCCGGTCGGGACTCCCCTGAGAAGCTCCCCCCTGTGTTTATTGGTGCGGATTGCTGGCGGTCTTAGCAACTGCAGAACAGCGTGCCGTCCGGCGGCCGACTTCTCTCCTTCCTAGCACCACATTTCTCAGTCTCGATCTTAGCTGCTCTTCCACGCAGCTCCACCTCACTGAGACCGAGACGGTGGTGAGCGTGGACACGCACAGACGGGATCTGCGACCCGGTCCAGGACACACCCGCGCAGTCCAAGCCATCATGTTAACGACACCCCCGAATCCCATCATTTCTCGGCTCACCTTTGGCCAGGTATCGTGTCCCGGTCTGGGATCCTCGACTCTTCGAGCTGCTGATACGCTGGTCCCACGATTCCACCCAGCCTGCTTCGGGGCGATGGGGGCGTCCTCCTGAAG